CGATAGCCATGACACGCATGCTCTATACAACGAGCTCGAAGTGTACAAATAGTACCTTGACATTCATAGATAATAATTAAGTAAATGATAAAAGTGCTATAAGATACCTCATGTATATGCTATCAATAAATCTTCTCTCACTCACTTAATGACGGAAAGTTCTATGTAATTCCATACGTTTTAGGTAAGACACAGCGACAATCGTCTGYTCAATTTTTCAATGTCTACGAATAATATCATAGCTTTCTCTGACGCACCTAACCACTCTGTTTACACCAATAATCTTTCTCACAGACTAGGCGCCTTCTGTAGACTAATGTCTCTTTTACTTCAATTTTACTATTGTCTAAAATTTCCAGGGGTGATTGCATTTACCTGATCGCATTCAATGTTAAGGAAATATTWAAAAAATCGATCTTTATCGAACTGGAATGATCCTTAAGCCCCGTTTACACTAGCGAGTTTTGCGGCGATTTTTTCGGCGATTCTGTCCATAATAAATAATGGTAAAGAATTTACTTGTAAAGTTTTTTCAGGATACCAAGATTTTCCTAGACGAATGTCTCTTTCGAAGGATGAAACAAAAGATTTCTTTTTGCTTGAGACGTGAAGGTTTGATATTTGGAAGACGGCAGCCGTACTGGCGGGATGTATTGAGTATTTTGATATTATTTTTTAAGTTACTTACGTTGTCTCTTAATTTGATTTCGAATGATTATTTTTTTCTTTCTTTTCTTTCTTATTTTTTTCCCAGTTCTTTTTTTTTTCTTTTTATCTCATTCTTCCTTTTTTTCTCTTTTTTCTTTTTGTTTTCTTTTTAGTACTCCTTTCAGATATAAAGATATAAATTATCGATATAACTACGATTTTTATTATTACAATTATTCCTATTCATTGTTTAGATAATTGTTATGTACCATGTAAACTTTAAGGCGATTACAGTTCTATTTCTTCCTTCGGGGCACACGAAAAAATCGCTAGAACGTTCTTTTATGGAAACGGAGTCAAAACAAAAGAATAGATCATCTATATATTCATTTCCGCGAATACTCCATGAAGTCTAGACTCGTCATTTTCTTTTCTTTTCTTTGGAAGAGGAAACAGAATATAAGGCTTATTAACGCACACAGAATAAATGAAACGTAAAATAATTTGTATTTATTGTTATACCCTTTCATAAATGTTAGGCTTTTTAGAATTATTTGTTCAGTCTTTTCTTTGAGGTGATTCAATTTCCAAAACACTTATATCTCTCCTTTTTATCCTCCTCATACTGAGGAAAGGAGTTCTATATAGACCGTATGCAGAAAGAAAACCCCTCGGGGGATTGTTGGAAGTGCTAGCATTTAAATGTAAAGAAAGCTTGTCAGATTTTGCCAGGTGATCTCTCGCACGCACTTCCGGTTACTATTAACCAGTCAGAAGCATTTTTGTTGCATCGCTAAAAGTTTCATGATGAATTTCAAAATGGAGTCGTATTTCGAGTTAACATTTTTGAATTATAACTTTATTTTGAAAAAATATATGTTACTTGTACCAGAAAAGCTTCCTCTTGCCCTATCAGCAGTTAAAATTATTAAAAACAAAGCATAAAAGTAAGCGAAATCGGYGTTGTCTTAATTAGTCACCAACCGCCATTTTGATTACCGTGAGATATTATGAAATAGGAGACTGGGTATTAGGAACTGTTCGTTTTGACAAATATTCCTTTGAGCGCTTCGAGGCGAGACCACATGGTGTTAAAAGTACAATAGGGAAGCAAAAAAAGAATCGTAATTCGCAGAASAAAAGCAAGCTTGGGAATCACAACGGGAAAAATCGAGCTGATGTTCTTGGGATAATAGAGAAAAAGATGAAAGATAGAGAAAGAACTAACGAACGTAAGAATGAAAAAAAAAAAAGGAAAGAAATAAAGAATTCTCCTTTTCGGCGCTAGCCGTCACGTGGTATAAATTGTGTTGGGTTGTGTTACGGTCACCAAGAAGTTCGGACATTGTTCTCGGATTTCCGKACAAATGTACTGACTTTAAATGAACTATTTGCTTGGTTTGTTTAGTTAAATCTCTAAATACAAGTAAAAAATTTTTCTAACTTGTTTGAAGCTTTTCGTATTGCTGTTAAGATAGCTAACTAAAGAAATCTATCTAAAGTTTCTCTTTAAACTCAGTGAATTTTTACGGAAATCCGAGAACGATGTCCGAACTTTTTGGTGACAGTAACACGATCCAACAAAGTGTTTACGACGTGACGGCTGTCGCCGAAAAGGTGAATTATAAAGCACCCGACAATGTTTTAATTAACGTTCAAATCATTATAGTACCATTATTAACACATACGATATTCTAGAATTTACCTTATTTTGATCGCTGTACAAACAGATGCGCTTGCTTGGTTATTAACACACTAAATAAAATATCGTCTGAATCGTTTTAATTGAGGTTTCTCAGGGGAAATGATTTTTCTTTCGGAAGCCGGCGCCTTTAACTTATTAGCTAAGCTCTTTGATAATAGATCACATATTCTCGGCAAGAACACTTTGACATATTAGACGTCCATTTTCTAAAGACGGTCTTCTTTAAAGGGGTACTAACACGAAAATCATCCAAATTTTAATTCGGCTGAAACCTTTACTGGAATAACCCTTAAAGGTCTAGTAATCACTGGTTAAAGTTTTTTCCTGATATTCGGATGGGAAGTATTGTATTTTAACGAATTTTTATAGGAGTCTGTGACGTCATGCACTCAAACTAAACATCGCAACATACATCTGCTCCTATAGTTTTTCAAATATGAAATATCCCTATATCAATGTTATTTTTCTTCTTTTACTATAATTGGTCCGAATCTGTCACAGTGGGGCACACCATATTGTGATTATATTTATTAATGAACGTTCATAGGTTCACTTTAATATATATACATTTATCTATATCATGTTTCTTATGATTTTTTTTTCTTTTTGAGTAAAACAAATCAATGTAAGGACACAATTTAAAGCAAAATTCAATTAACTATTTAACTTTATTATATTTTGTTTTCGTGATCATTTCGCAATTTGTTCCCTCTTTGTCCGAAAATATCTCAGTGGGGCTCACCACATAATTAAATTCTTGAATAATGAATCATTCAAAGTTATATTTTTTCTGACTTTCATTCAGTTTGTTGTAAGTCTGTAATTAGCTTTATCTTGATTATCTTTTGTTTTACGTTGGTCCGAAGATGACCCCTGTGGCACCCCACATAATTGGCCGGGTGGGCCCCTTCACATCATACTTATCTTTTTGAAAGAAAATCGTAAGACAAATTTGATTTAGTAGAAAACTGTAATAATTATTTTTTCCTTGGTCCCAAAATGACTCTCGTGGCACCCCGCGTTATTGGCCTTCATACTTATCTTTTTAAAAGAAAATTTTGGATTGTTTTGATAAGACTATGATATATGTGTGATTATCTCTTTTTTTTTTTTTTTTTTTTTTTTTTTTTTTTTTTTTTTTTTTTAATGGGGTGTACTAAAAGATTTGTATGAATCCCTGGAATAATAACTCTTAAACTTAGTACAATTCACCTTTTCGGCATTAGCCGTCACGGTGTATAAATTGTTTTAGATTGTGTTACGGTCACTCTAAATACAAGTAAATAATCATTTTTCTGGCTTGATTGAAACTTTTTTTTCTTACTGCTTTTAAGAAATCTACCTAAATTTTCTCTTTAAAGTCAGTGAATTTGTATGGAAATCCGAGAACGATGTCCGAACTTTTTGGTGACCGTAACACAATCCAAGGTAGCGCCGAAAAGGTGAATTCAAGATGGTGAAGGCAACTGTGAAGGGGACTATTAGATTAATTTTATATTTACGCATATTTTTCGTAATTCTCTTACGTTTTTCTCTTTGGGCCGAAGATGAATCTGTGGGGTACACCTATACTGTCATTTTTGAGGGACCGAAAGACTGACAGACCGACGGCCTGTTCGACTTGTTCTCTTTTCTTTCGCTAAATATTTAAATAATAGATATATAATTTTTAGCTTTATTAGCATCATTATTACAACTTTTTATCAATTTTTCCTCAGTTCTAGCTTACATTTCCCTATCTCTTTTCATTACAGATTGTGGCGTTTCTGACCCTTTTTTTCATCATCACCTCCGTCGCAATATTCTGCTTGGAGACTATTCCCTACTTCAACGACGAGAACACTACCCCTTCAAAAGTGATTTACATAATTGAAGTCATCTGCGTCGCTGTTTTCACACTAGAATTGGTCGTTAGGTTAATATTCTGTCCAAATAAACTATCATTTTTCAAGAAACCGATGAACTGGATCGATTTTGGCGCCATTTTACCGTTCTATCTTCAATTGTTTCTGAGTAAGTCAAACATAAAGACAATTGTTGTTCTTCGAGTAGTGAGACTGATTCGCGTGTTCAGGATCTTTAAACTTTCCCGCCATTCCTATGGACTACAAATCCTCGGCCACACCCTCAAGTCGAGCTGTAGCGAACTGTTCCTTCTAGTCTTCTTTCTCTCCATTGGAGTGATTATATTTTCTAGCGTGATATATTACGCCGAGAAAGACGTGCCTAACACGTATTTTAAGACCATACCTGATGGATTTTGGTGGGCGGTTGTTACTATGACGACGCTTGGATATGGTGACATGGTGCCAAGATCTCTACAGGGGAAAATCATAGGCTCACTTTGTGCAATCAGCGGTGTCTTAATGATTGCTCTCCCCGTACCGGTCATTGTGAGTAACTTCTCGTTGTATTACTCTCACGCTAAGGCCCGGATGAAGCTTCCGCGAAAAAAGCGACCGCTGATCTTTGGAGCGGCAAGCGCGCTGCGTGTTGCGCAACCGTTTGCTGTCAACGAATACAAAAAAAATGTTATCACCCAACTGATGCGTGACGGGTCGAAGGACGATGATGATGAGAACATTGCTAGCTTAACGCGGAGATCCCTGCGTAATTCAGATCGACGGAGCCCAAACCAAGCTCAACTTAACTCTTATCGCAGTTGGTCACCAAGGAATTTCAATGGCACGCCACATGCGTCCGTCCCCCGTCCCACCCCTAGACAGTCCCTCACGTCACCACCTCAGCCACTCAGAGGTGGCAATCTAGCAATTTCAAGTGCTCGTAGTAATGATATGGAACTCAAAGAAATATCAAGCAATCGAAGCCAATTACTAGCACAAGTGACGGCCATTCCACAAGTTGCGCTGCCTACAAGCCCTCCTGAGTCAACCTCCGACTTGAAAGAGCAATTATCGACCCCACCTGTGTCACCTGTGTCATCCAAGCTCAGTCATAGCCAAAGCATTACCACAGATCCTAAATCCCCAATCGCTAAGCTGCGTGGCATCCCTGCTAAATCTTTATCAGTCGACTCTGCCGGCTCTCCGAGAGGACGCAGAGGTCGTCGGGGTAGTCTCTATATTGTGGGGTTCACAGCCAAGCACTGGCAGAATAAGGCACTGAATAAAAATAAGCAACGCAAGACTCTATCTGCCGACAATAGCACCGAGAAAAGCGAACCGAAAGAAAAGGGAAAGGAGTTCTTTTCTTCGCTAAGCTGTGAGAACTGTCAGCATTACATGAAGGCACACTCTGCGGAGGTCCTGTTGCGCTCAGATTCTGATCGCACGGAACAAGGGATTGAAAGCAAAGCTAACGACAAGGCGCGCAATGCACGACGGGAAAGCGTAATTCTATTCAACCAAATGTCACGTGCTCCAAAACACCCGAACCTCAACCGGGTTTCTTCCGGGAACCAAACCTTGAGTTTAGAAGAGACACCTATGAGAGAATTTGTTCGAAAAGAATCCAGGAAAACACTAAGTGATCCTACAAAGTCGTCGCAAGAATTAGGAAGAAGCGACTCGACGTCCAAAATCTCGGATGATTCGCTCTCCGTCCACGGTCATTTGAGCCAGCGGCGTGGTTCATCTCCTCTTATTCGTCAACACGCAGTCTTTACATTTGACATGGCCGAACAACCTGCCAATGGTGGAAATCTTGAACCAGGCTCTTCAACCCACTCTAGGCTTTCCCCAGCAAAAGTCTTGAATCAAGCCACCTCGCCAACTTTACCAGCACTGTCGGAAAGTGTCGGAGATTCGTCGGAGATGATAGACGACGAGGGAGTGCATAATAGTACAGATACGTTATCGCCGACTGATGGGAAAAAAAACTCGGGACGAAAATCAAAAGTTCGTCCTAAGTCACTACCATCAGGTTACGTTAATGCCTCGTACCAAAGAGAGGAAGAAGATCATGATCTACACGGAGCAAGGCGGCGAAGCTCCTTTCAAGAGGAAACTAAAGAGCCTCTCGCTGAATCAGTGGAGACCGAGAAGCGTGGGTTTCAACCCTATCGAAAAGACGAGACACAGAATTGTGTCGCCGCGCTGATCTCAAGCGTTCATGAAGCTGATTTTCCAGAACCTTGTTCCATGGACTTAAAGGATCAGTACTTGAAAGGTCGACGCACGCCAGTTGGTTCTGTCTCCAATGCCAGCCTCCCTTCTATATCTGAAGAACAACCGGAAATGAGTAGCGTTGAAACGTTTACATCTATTTCAATGCACAAAGATAAACAATCTTTACACAGACCGGCGTCAGTGCCGCCGGAATCATTTTACGAAGGATTTCCGCTCTCTCCGCATATCATTCGAGCGATAAGTTTACCATTAAGTGCCACTTTTGAACATTTACCTCAAAATAGTAGCTATTTACACCCGGAGTATAACCAGAGATCGTCATCACACTACAATGTAGAGCGCAATGAATCGTTATTGGAGAGACGCCAAAGACCTGAGTTATACTTGAGGCATGTTTCTGATTCCATGCCACAACAAAGACAACAAGAGAGAACAAGTTACCCTGAAGGGGTTATCACGTCGCCTAACGGTAGACAATACCCGTTTGATGGACTGAATCGGTTCAATTCACTTTCTGGTCTAGATAGGATTTCTTCTGTGCCAGAAATGGAGAGGCTATATTCGTTCTCTGATGGTGATTATCCTCTAAATGCTGATGACAGCCTATTATATTCACCTCACACTCCTTCGTCGTTTGATGTTCCGACTACAAAAACGCGCGATACTGCAACATCGCCGTTCATTACCACTTGGCACGAATCTGAAGAGGCCCTAGAACCGATCTCTGCGGAACACCACAAAGATTCTTCTCGTACATCGTCTTTTATTGACGATACGAGTGCAAGTCGTTTTAGTCCTTCGTCGGATGTAGGAGAAGTTCAAAACGCCAGCAAATTTGGCAAACGAAAACCCTCGGAGGTAGAACTTCGGCCTATATCACGTGTAGAAGACCAAGCGGGAAGAAAGTATTCGCTATACGCTGTCCCCACGGCTTTAGAAGGGTTGGTATTTTACGCAGCTGCACCGAGAATTAGTATCGACTCGACCGAAAGCACTCCGCATATATCGAACTATCCGGATGACACACGAAACTCTCCCGAAGACTTCACGCATCTTGACGAAGTTAACAAAGATTTTACACCAGATGAAGAAACTTTAAAAGATTACACCGATAACGGAAATTCAGTGTTTCACCGTATTGGGAATTTCGACAAAAAACGTGATAGGAAACCGAGTGGTCTTTCTTTGGACGAACAAACAAGYGTAAATGAGAAGGAAGATTTAGATGGTAAATCTGGCTCGCGATCCCAAAGTGACAAAGGGAGCGGTCCCGCTGAGGCGTCTGTGAGAAGCAAACGCCAAGGATCTCCTTCATTGCCCAGGTTACAACGTAGCGATAATAGTGTGATTTATAACGGGCACGAAGCTTTACAGCAAAAGCTATCGGGAAATCTTCATGCCAAGAGACCTGCAAGCTTGCCCTCGCCCGACAGAAGACGAGCAAGAGCGATTTTTTTCGGGGATTCTGGAATCAGTAGCGTTGGTAGCGGGAGTACCACTTCGATGTCGCACTCTCTCGAACTCGATAACGAATCCAAAGAAAAGAAAGAAAACGCGGCAAATATTTTAAATCCTATCAAAGAAACTGAGGTGGAGAAWCCGGCCAATAGGTCAATATTAAGCCGTATGGACTCCTTTGGCGGTGCATCAGCAGATAAGAGAACTCCTGTGACGACGTCAGTCAATATAATGCTGCCTTCGAAAAAGTCACGTGAAAATCACGTGATTGATATATTAAGTAATTCTGACCTGTATGAATCTAGTGTAGTGTAGTTGAAATGATCATGTGGTAGATGCGTGACGTGATCACTAAGTGCAGTTTTTAACAATTATTCGCCGAAGGCGAAGTGATTATCGGGGAATATTTACCGAGACGCGAGTCTTCGAGCAGCGAGGTAAATATTCTTCGATATTCACTGAGGCTGAGGCAAATAATTGTTTTAGTATAAATACAGAGATGATTCTTTCAAAAAAAAGAAGATTAAAGACTTTTTTTTTCGGTAACAGCAATAAAGCGGCTGGCCGCCATTTTGGATTATCGCTGGAGGTGATTATCGTGTGATAGTGTAAGTTTCTCGACCAATCAGCGCGCGAGATTTTAAGTAATCATCTGTGTATTTTTACTAATGTAGCTTATCTTATTTTCTCATATAACATATGTATTTAGGTGTCAGTTGAAGCCTTTCGTATAGAACTTGCTGTTCAGGTAGAACCCTGTAATTTAGTGCCAGAACGTTTCTCATGCGTGTCCGACACTTCATACGCGGTACGTTTTGTTATGTTTTGGACACCGTCCCTCAAACTTGCAAAGATCTTGCCGTTATGCAGCTCAATCTGGGGGACAAAACAATAGGTTCCAATTCTCAAGAGATTGAACGTCGCATGCAAGGGGTCTATATAATTAATTTTACAACGTATATGATTTTTGAAAACTATTTTTTGAAACTTCCAGTCTACCATAATGCCGTAAATATTTTAGCGACCACCTGTATTATCGACCACCTGTAGTATTACTCTTACTTTAAGACCCTCGTTTAAACGGACAAGTAGCAAAAATCGACCACTTACTCTCACACTAGTTACTTAGGTCAATATTTTCCAATTTTGCAGATAGCTGTGGCTGTTTCTGAGCCCTAAAACTGTGAGGGTCTCTAAGGAAAGCGCGGTCGTATAGCTCCCTCATGAAGGCGAGGTTACCTAAAATCATCGTGACATGTAGGCTATGAATTTTTTTTTTTTTTTTTTTTTTTTTTTTTTGAGTTTTTTTATCTTGGTGAATTTGTGGTCTGGCTTGTGTACAAACAATTTTATAAAAGTCATGGTGATCAAAAACTGTTTCTACTACCCAAGATAGGCCACAATGCACTATGTTTATCGCTAGTTACATAACCTCCATGTTACAGTTAGTTTAGGTAGCTACTCCTTCATGATGGAGCTATGGGACCGCGTTTTCTTTAGCGATTCCCAGAATCTCAGAAGAAAAGCTATGCCGAGTGCTGCCTAGCATACAAATACTCCATTTTGAAGTTCCGTACAGTGACCACGAATAATGGTTCCAAGCCGAGTCTGTAGTTGTCTCGCATGATGTAGTTTTGCTATAGAGCGTTTTCACTCACGTGAGAAGACAGCCATAGATCAATTCCCGGAGGACAGAAAATGTATTGTTTTGGTACCCCATAATGGCCGCTGTGACGTCACGTGGAAACGCTCTGTATGCGGCAACTACAACCTCGACATGAAACTAATATTCATGGTCGCTGAACGGAACTGTAAAATGGAGTATTGGCCTCGATAATTATCAGGGAATCGTTAGAAAATAAAATTAGAGGAGTTAATTTGTAAATAGATCAGTTCAAAGCCAAAATATTTTCTAAAATATCTAAGATTTTTTATAAAGTGGTGATCGAGCAGGGCTCAGTTCATCAGACATTTCGAGACGTACAGACTAGTCTGCCGCTGCAAACTAGTGGATACGACTTGAGTAAAGATGAAACAAGGCAGAGAAATTTCATTCAACCCGTGAAATTAAGTAGTTGGTTTATTAGACCTCATTAAGGTGCGACTACACGGAGCAATTGTCTCTGCAACTTGTGTCGCAACAGCGTTGCGACACAAGTTGCAAGAGTGTCTAGACGGTGCAACGTAGACGCAATCGTTGCCAAAAGTAGAAASGAATTCTACTTTTGGCAACGATTGCTGCAACTTGTCTCGCAACATTTTTCAAATTGCGCTGTAGGTTACACGCTGCAGTGCTTCATGTAACTTGAGTCGCAACGCCAACGATTCGCAACAACGATTTTTGGTGCAGCAATACGAAAGGCCTCGTTAACATGGCGCGCAGTTACAATTTTAACGATATGTTGTTGCGGCAAGATGTTGCAGGTTTTTGAACGACCTTCAAAACGCACAACATTGTTGCCATCGATTTGTGTTGCCACGCGCGACATGTTACACAATGTCAACTTTTAATGCAACAGTGTTGCGCTAAAAGTCGTCTCTTGTAACATCACCAGAACGACCTTCAAAACTCACAATGTTGTTGCCATCGATCATTTGTGATAGCACACAAAAAAAAAGCACTAAACTCATATATTTTTTGTTTGTTTTCAATTGATTCATTCAAATACTATTCCTCGGATATATGGTTTGAACTCTACTTCATTTCGGGTTGATTGAAATCTCTCTATCGCAAAAGCGCGTCGCAAATAGCGACTATATATTTTTTTCACAGCTAGAATATTTCAATATTATATCAGAGAATTTTTATTGCTTCTTCTGTCGTAGTTAGTCCAGATCTTAAAATAAATTGCGAATAAACTTCTTAGCTTACATATATGCAGTTAAAGACTAGAGTTAGTAATATTCCTTTCTTTTCTACTCGACAGTTCGAACGATATGAACGCACGTAGATATAACTCGGAAATTTATATTCACAAGAGTTTTGAAATGGAAGAATGTTTTGCCTAAAACTGTGCCTTGTTCTGTGCGAAGTATCTACAAGTTGAATAACGAATAAACGTTATAACAGAGTAGTTAACTATAGAAAATTAGGATGCGCTACCAATCTAGGATAAAGGTTATAGTCCCAGTTCTACTCGTTTGACAAAATTATAAAATATAGTACAAATTAGAACCGCTGTAATAATTAATAACTATTAACAAATACTTATATTTAAAAAAGCATATTAAAAAGAAAAAATTATGTATTGAAATTTATTATTTATGATATGGAAATCTAAGAAGTGTTGCATACAACGGGCACCTGTGTGAAGCGACCACCTCTGTTAAGAGTGGCATCGCATGGTCTGAAATGTGCACAACAAACAACGAAGCTAAAATTTTATATTAAGCTCTGGCCTGAAATTTTTGATCAGCCTTTCGACCACCTCTTTGAAGCGACCACCTTTTTAAAATAAGTCTTTTCACCACTAGTATCGGAGCGACCACCTTCCTTAGCTTAGCCTTCCGACCACCTCTTTGAAGCGACCAAATCTCTTAGAAAAGGCTTTTAACCAACTATCCTTGAATGACTTTGACTCTTAAATAAGTGACCTCCTCTAAGAAGCGATTTCCTTTTACTCATCTTATCACTCAACTTTTAAATAGAAGTAACTTCATTAATTGAACAGGCACCTACTTTTTCTCTCGACTTTCATTTAAAATATAAAATAACTGAGTATATCTAAAAGCACTCTATAATGTACATCAAGTAGTGAGTTTAAAAAATTTCCTCATGGTTTAAAAAACCCTTGAAATACACCCAAAAGTAATGGGATTTTCCACGATCTATGAAATTGCCTCTTGGCCATATGTTCGCCAATTTTCAGTCAAAGTAATTGAAGAAGTACTTAATGACCTCGTGCGTTGCTTTCTGGCAATTTCATCCCGCCCACTCGAAATAACGACTTCCTTATCCCACGCTTATAGCTTTTCGGAGTAATTTCTTTTCGTCGGTAAGCCGTCGAGACGTCKAATTGTTTAAGGAAGTCTGCGTAAATGTGTCACTGTCGTAAAAGTTGTCCAGCCTTGTCCAACTGAGTTGTACTTCCTTATTCCACGCAAATTCCTTTTCGGAGCAATTTTCTTGTCGTTGGTGAGCTGTCGATACATTCGGGCTGTGCTGGAAACTGAACTGTGTAATGATTGACTGCCTGTCGTAAATGTCGTCCAACCTTGTCGAAATGCTTTTAGACTGCCAAGTTCTCACTGACAGCAATGCGGGATAGAAGCCGTAATTTCTAACCGTGTATATTACTTCCACATTGATTTGACCAACTAATGATATGATAATGAATAATGGAGACTCGAACAGTGGCGGGATTTCCAATGCGCTTTTTTGTCCACTAAATTAAACATCGGAGCTAGAAGTGTTATTTCTTTTTGAAAAAAAACCAGGACGCTCGGAGAAAACTATTCTCTTCGAAGATTACAACGGATCAAATGGAAGGAACCAAAAAAAAAAAAAGTCGTTTGAATTGAGAATGCAGGAGAGTGCACTGTACGCTCGCTCTAAAAAGGGTGTCGACACCAAAAGATGTATTCGTCTGGGGCAGGTTAAGAAGAGTAAGAGTTAATTACCGAGAACGGAGGCAATAAGCCATATACATCCCGAGGGCCGCAAAAATAAAGCCTTGTGAATAACAAAGAAAACCATGTCAATTGAGAAATAAGATACGCTAGGCGTTTTTGAACCACTTTTTATTCTACAAAATGTAGGTTATAGTAACTCTGAGAACGTAATTTTTTTTTTTTTCTGGATTCAACTTCCCTTCCCCCCCTCCCCAATTCACCTACGATTTAAATCCTACGTCCCGGTCTGGGGATACGAGGTGAACCCAGATCAAGTTGGGGTTTGTGCTGGTACTCCATGAAAGTTCCTAAATCAAAGACCAACTGTACCGGACTCTGACTCTGTACCAACATCATGCGTGCTCCAATACCAACAGAACCACTGACTAAAGAAAATCCGTATATGTCTATTTATCTATATGTCGTAAAAAAAGATGTATGCGTTTGCTTGTGGCGCCAGCTAGACGGTTAAGATATGTATGCCAATTACCATAGTCATCAGAATCGCAGAAACCATGATAACCTTTGTGAAATTGATGAATTAAATGACTTCCCCCCAAAAAAATTTTTCGTATGTGTGGGAAACGTTCGTCAATGCTGGCTTACAATATGCTCATGGTCGACGCCATTATATTTCAGTTATTCATCCAATCACAACGTGTAGCTACGGTTACGGTAAGATGCGGCAAGGCAACCGTATACGACTACAAACTACACGTATCGTTTTCCACTCACACGAAAACTGCTGTACTCACACGTGCTTTTCCACTTGTGTGGTAAGGTCGCCATTATCTTCAACCCCAACCACGAAGATAATTCAAATGACCAGTTGTTTATAGATTCTTGAGGATTTTTTCTCGTTAATAAAGTTTTAGATTGACTTTTTTTCCTCCCGCAAACGGCAAACGTGAGCACGTTTTCATAGTTTTCCTGTATTTTACTTTACCTTTTACAAACCTTCTCACCAAGCGCAAATACTCTTGTTTTTCTACTACTTGGACTTTTTTGCGATTCTTTTTCAGTAATTTAAAATAATTTTTTACTGGTCAACTGACGTTTCACGTTTGCCGTGAACGTAAATCTAAAACCCTCCAATGTGTAACACCCGCTTTCATTGAATAATAACAAATGCTGCAGACGTTAATCGGAATTTCATTATTGAGTAAACTGAATTGAGTTCCATGCAAAATGCTATTAATTAATTGCGGGGGAGAAAACACACAGGTGTGGCTAATTCTTTGCAATCAATCCTTGAACTGTTTTTAAAAGCATGTCTTGTTTGTTTGTTTGTTTTTCTTTCCTTTTTTTTATGCGTGTCGTTGTTTTTGGGATTTAACTCGTGCCTTGCCTTGCCTTGCCTTGCCTTACCTTGCCTTGCCTTGCCTTGCCTTGCCTTGCCTTGCCTTTTAATTTGACTTGATTTAACTATTGATTTTTAAACTATTGTTATTCTATTCCAAAACCTTTTTAAAAATGGTGTTATTTGATATCAAAAAGTGTATTTTAAGGAAAAGTGTGTCATTTAGATTAACAAGTTTAATCTCGTTAAGGGATTAACCTCTCTGGAAATAATTTTCGGTATGCTTCAAAGAACCATCATCTCCAAGATTTTAAGTGTTTTTTATCAACGTGTTTTCTTAATATTTTTTGCATTGATCTCAATTTAAGAAGTTCCATCTTGCTCAATTTATTGTCTCTGGAAGTAATCTCAAAACGTCAATGTTATGTCTTCTTTGAAACCTTACAAAAAAATCGTTTTAAAACACTTATTTTTCTCTCATATCCCTAAATAATCTTAAATCTTTACACTTATGGTTGATATTAAAAAATCACTCTTATCCTAATAATTCAGAATATATGTACTCTTCTCAATTTAGCACACTCGCTCACACACTACCACTACATTTCATATTCTATGCATAACACTTGCATGTATCAACTTTATTATTCCTATTGCTCGGGTTTTCAGGAAGCCAAAATACGATATCGCTGTCATCATTTGTGCGCCAAAATCGTGCAATTCATCAAACAGTTTGAAATCTACTATTTCTGATATGGAGAGAATAAGAGAAAAATATACATACAGGTATATCAAAAGTATATCAGACACGGCGAGATATCTTTCTTTATATTTTTTCACAAAGCCTTAGTGATAGACAACTCGAAAAAAATATCAGGGATGATATCCCATAATTTTTGATATGCTTTTGATATACTTGTACATATATATGGAAGCGGCCATAATTTTTGCAAATGGCTGTATATATATATATATATATAATTATTACTATTATTATTATTACTAGTATTTCTGATATGTCTACGAGAAAAATTAGTTAATTTTTAAGGCAGCAAAAGAGGTAACTTTTTCTCACACTTTTTATACAAATTTTGATAAAATTAATATTGATATTTTCAGGATAATTTTAACACTATTCTCTGGAATATTACAGCGATTTTTCCATTTCATTGGTACTGTTTTTCCGGGGAGATTAGACGAGGTCAGTTGTTGTAACTGTGGGATGTTTGTGTGGGGGTGTCGCTTCCTTAGAAGACAAGCTTCTTCTAAAAAGATATATCATTTGTAAACTGTTTAATAACATCAGTATCTTCCTGTGTAAGTATTTATGACGCTGGTGTAAAATATTTGATTAATTTTTTAAAACAGAAAGACAATTGAAAGATAAACTAGGGAAAGAGAGAGGAGGGATGGATGGATGGATAAAAGGAGGGATGGATGGATAAAAGGAGGGATGGATGGATGGATGGATAAAAGGAGGGAGGGATGGATGGGAGGGAGGGAGGGTTGGTTGGATCGATGGGTGGGTGGATGGATGGATGGATGGATGGGATAAGATGGGTGGATGGATGGATGAAAACGGAAGGGAAAAAAAAGGATGTTTGGATGATCAGATGGACGGATGGATAAATGGATGAAGAAAAAAAGGAAGAAAGAAGATGATTCGATAGATGGACGGATAAATTGATAAGTGAATAGATAGAGGAAACAAAGAGAGAAATAAACAAATAGACAAAGATAAAAAGAAAAGAATCCCAAACGACAAAACGAACTGGAAAAAAACACAACATATAAATCGTAAGTAATGACAATCACATACTGAGCGTGGAACGACAGCTCAATTCATTCCTTCGATTAATCAAACCATTTCTTAGATAYAGGTTCCCATTTAATTACCTTTTAATATGCTACGAGGCCTGATATCCCGCATGGCTCTCAGCTGCACTTTACTAACAACTCACCAACTACCATCAATCCAAAACGACAACTCTTGCACGGATTATGACTGTGATACCAATACTTTTCGACTCAATTACGTTGTAAATCGTCTTGTTTTACTTAATGTTTTCCTAAATAAAAGAGTTCGTGGTGTTTTGAATGTCATAACATACTCGTTACGCCTACAAGATTCTCAATCGATAAAGAAAACATAGTTCAAGTGTGAACAGTTCATACTTCATTCATGGATTCCAGATTTTACCGTATTACCGACAGATTAAAGTACTTCCTTGTCGTTTGAAGTTCGATTTCCCGCCTTTGATAACCTTATTTCACTTTCCCTTTTTTTAATCTTTTATCGGCGATAATTTTTATCTTAATTTTTTTTAATTTCGGCTTCTTTTTTTTTTTTTGGTTTTTCTTTCATGTTTCTGTCAGTTGTACTTGGGACAACGCATTCTCTCTAAGAATTAGGCCACGAAAAACAAACTGGAAAAGCCTTAGTTTCGTAACTTTGTCAATTTGTCATACAATTCCAAAATAGCTAATACGTTTTGAGAATCCATATCTGTAACAAGGGCTGAAAATGGAGTTTCATACGTAGCTCACCAACTTATTAAAAAAATTTCGAGTAAATTAAACGAATATAAACCATATCAAAATGAAGAATGATTATAAGAATGATTTCTGTATCAATAAAATAATCTTAGCAATTCGTAGCTCGCAGGCATTTTGAAGCCTTGAGCCAGCTGATGTTCCTAAATCGGTGATCCTGTTATTGCAAGTTATTTTAGTTTGAATCAAAATAGCTTTACATTCTTTATGGAAAGCTTAAATCTCCCACATTAATTACGTCTCCATAATGTTTCCAACTTAGTCTTATTTCTAGAAAAAATATCTTAGATTATCGAAGAGATCGAATATATAAATAAATCGGGGTTATAGATAAGATAACATGAAGGAAAATAAATAATATTTATGATTCCTTAAGGGTTACTTTGAAAAATTACTGAATTCCTGAATTCCTTTCTTATTGAAATGTTTTTTTGTTTTTTCCTCCAGATTGTTTGAACTACGAAGGATATTGCGACGATGGACACACAAAAGGTTGGACATAATTTATTTTTCTAAACACAGTCTTCGAAATACATCCTCCCGGACTTTGAAGGTGGTTCTTATAAGCCGACAAGTTTGCAGCACTTCGCGGGTTTTTTGATGCTCTGCCTTCTGTGCTTTCGGTCTGAAAATTAATTCAATTAGAGATAACTTAAATACTTGGAGTCTGAAATTTCGAATCAGTTTAAAATGAAAACTTCATTTCGAAAGTTTTTAAAATATCATTATCGACTACATCAGTTGTGTGCTAGAACAAAAGACGAAGTTTTTATCAAGGCGAGCCTATTAACGAGCCATCTGTCGCATTTGATTGGCTCTTACCTTAATGATATTGAAGGTGCTTAGCCAATCAAAATGCTTCCTGTTTCGTCAATTTCCTGCATTTCAGCAAGTGTGGATGGCAGTCAGGATATGATCCCACATGGGGAAGAATGAGGTTCATACTTATAGTAAATACTTTGGGTGTCAATCGGAAATCATAATTACTACACTATTGAGGACATCCATTGCTCCTACGCTGTATACGTATACTCTGATCCCAGAAGTAAAATAAGAGGCACCAATCTGGCTCACTTGTCCTTGTCATATCATCCCCGCTACCGCTATATAATCTTTTGTGAGCCTAGCGATATTGACTGTAGAAAACCAGGTTATCTGTCGAAGGAACCGCGCCCTAGCTCTCAAGTAGACGCCCAGTCAGACCAAAGATAACAGCTCTGACAAGCCACAGTTCACTACAACTTACTCGGCACTAAAAGGAGTTGGACTTTTGAAGAGAAATCCTACACTTTCCTGCCCCTTTGAAAGACGACAAAAAGATTTACTCATTCTCAAACGGACAAGACAAAATGGTGTTTAAACAACAAGCGGTTTTTTCCCCTTTCAAGGTAAGAAAATCTTGATTTTTTAAAATACTTTTTGCTCTATGCTAAAACTTTCACTTTCATATCAGCTATGTAGGTTAGTTTAATTGAAACTCGAATTCCGTAAACCTTTTTTTCGTTTTTACTGATTTTTAAAAGCATGTTTTAAATCTTCTTTTCGCTTTTTTGTATTTCCAAGCATTTCATTCCTCTTAACGTTTTCTTTATCAGCGGTTTTTACTTTTTCATTTTTGGTTCTGTTTCTTACTCAAAACCATAAGAAAACCCTAAACAAATTTGTAACAATGTTTATTTTCTTTTTTACTATGACAAATATCTTCCAAGAATAGCTGAAATTCAGATCAAGGTTAAGATCTAATAAGCGTTATGACTAATATATTGTCATTTACTAAACTCATTTCGAGAATATATCTTTCCGGCTCGAATAGTCAGCGATGCCGAATGTCTTTTTATGGTTATTTCAGAATGTTTTGGCGATAAACCTAGGTACTTATGGGTCTAAATAAGCGGTCTAAATAGACGATAACTGTTCTTGTACAATGATGATTATAACAGATGTCTAGGAAGTATATTTTACAGAGTGTTGTATCAAAAAAAAAAACGCCTCGAGCTCTACACATTCAACAGGGTAAAATAAACTAGTTTGAAAATCGTTTCGCCGATCGAAAGATTATCTGGTGATTTTCTAGCATGTTTTTTAAAGGAAGCAGACTGTGTCCAACAGCGTGATCAAGTCAATGCTGTACTTTCTTCACAGGTTAAAATCACTATCGCTTATAAAACATGATTGATCGCCATCTGTTATGTGTTTATATAATTTTCAGGCTTGTTTTGGAATTTTAAATGGATTTGTCGTACAAGCGTTTGCAATAAGGCGTTTGATAGAAACTGATTGAGGCTTAAAGGTTTCTCTTTCTTTCTTTCTTTCTTTCTTTCTT